CAGGTACATTTCATTGATACTGTTTTTCATATCTACTGATTATTAAGGAGCAAATTTTTATGTTTTGAAGAATTATTATTATTTTTAATCATTATATATTTTTAAAATTTTTAAATAACTACATGATTAGAAGCTTTTCACTACAGCTTTAACATATTCAGTAACACACTCCTAACTTTAAACTCTTTTACACTAAATTATCAAGGAATTTCTCCAATGGCCAAGCACTGGCAGGGACTAACTATCCCACAGGCCTTGCCACAGGTGCTTTGGAAGGACCCTGCATCAGGGCTCTGGGGTAAAACTCCAGCTCCTTTACTAACAATGGGAAGAGGGTGTGCTTGTGTCTTTACAGAAAATGAATCCTCCCCACCCGTCATGGGCACTGCTCAGATACATCAGACTGCTCAACTGAGCCTCCCACAGCAAAGATGGCTGTGCTGACCCTGGGAAAGTGGAAAAGGAGACCCCAAAAGGAGACGCAGCCTCCTGTGGCCTGGGGAATGATTAAGAACCTGATGAACGATGCCCAAGAGTTGGGATGGCGCCAAGGCCAGGATATCTCTAAACTTGAAGTTCTTCTTGTTTGTGTTCTAACTATACTGACTGTGAATAGAGTAAAAGCTAAAACCTGTCATGAATACTAATGTTAATGGTGTACCTATTATAGGATCAGGATTAGTACTCAGGATGGACCCATCATATGGGAAAAGGATGGACAGAGGATATACAGCCAACTGGATGGAGGATTTTTAGGTTGGAAAAATGCTACTGACCAGAGCCTAAAAATCCAGCATAATTTCAGTGTTTTTAAAGAGGCACTGGCCCTAAAAGATACTGGAAGTTATAGCTGTGTAAAAAAAAAACAAAAGAGACCTTTTAAAGATACTGTACTTAGATCAACCACATCTTTGCAATGAACCAGCCTGTCCATATCTAATGATTTGAATGGGAATTTATGGGTCCGTCTTGCACAAAAGGGTTATAATAAACAGAGTTTCTACATACAAGGAGACCCTTCTATACCAGGATTGTTAAAGAAAAATCTAATAGTAATGGGGGAACATATGAGTCTTTATAGACAGATAACTAAGGGCAATATAGAAAGTCAGACACAATGCATTAAATAGATAATCAAAGACTTACTATATGTCACATTATTGTTAATCATTGTTTATGTTTTGGTTGTAAGTTTATTCCCTCGCATAGCAATACCACCTCTAATTATACCTTAAAGCAAGGGAAACAATTGCCTGTAGAATGTGCCTTCTTTTGCAATAATGAGACCTATACAGTGTTGCCTTATGGATATCAAGAATTATGTGCTATAGGACATATAATGCCTTTGCTAATAACCCCTCCTATAAAAAAAAATTACATAGATCTTTACCTGAAGACTGCGATGATTCTCTCAAGCTACTTGACCCAAAAGCTGTAGCTGTTAGTTCTTCCTTTTTACTTCCTATACCTGTCATAGTAACTGGAATGCAAAAGGAAATATCTAAACTTGCTTGTATAACTACTAAAACAACAAATATAACTACAAAAACACTAGGGGAAATTAATCAGGAAATGGGAGAACTAAGAATTGCTGTGTTACAAAATAGAGCTACTATAGATTATTTACTGTTACAAAAATCACATGGGATGTGAACCATTTCCAGGAATGTGTTGTTTTAATTTGTCTGATTTTGCACATCCTATAGACCAACAGAGTAATGATTTACAAAAGGAAATTGATAAGATGTCTGAATTTTCTATACCTTGGCCAAAGTGGCTCCAATGGCTTGCTCCATTCTTGGGCCCAGTATTGACTGGAATACCTACTCTTGTGGGAGCACCAATAGTATGCGCTATACTGTAATTTCAGTTAATAATACTGTGGCCTCTATGACTACTTCCTTCTTATTTAAAAAAAAAAAACAAAAAACAAAACAAAAAGGGAGGAGATGTAGGAAACCAGGATGCCAGGCCCTAGGGTGAGATGAGCCTAAAACCTTTAAGTCCAGGCTGCATTCTCTGCTAAAGGGAGGGGCGCTGAAAACAGTAGCTCTGATAATCCCTGTCTTGCAGAACACTGCCAGACTGGCAGGAGAAAGCTGCCTAGTCTTAAGTGCAGGCTCCTTGCTCTGTGGGAAAACATCTTGGTCAACAATCCTTAGCTCATCTCCCTGTCCTGAACAAATAACTCAGCTATTCTTAGCTAAGAGATTAGGCCAGGTTAAAGGTTTATTCCTGAGCTAAAAACTAAAAGTTTACCATGATTATAAAGCTAAGAAAGAAAACACTGTGGCCAATAAATTACCCGATGGGCATTGATAACTTTGAGTAAAAGTTTAAGCATCCTTCTGGAGCCAATTAACAGACTATGTGTTCTGCTTCTTTGTACCCTAAATCTTTGTATCTGACTGCCATATTCCACGTGACTGCCAGTTCCTTGGGATGTATAAAAACCATCTGAATTTTGAAATAAATGGCTTGTTGAAAAGACACAAGTCCCAAGATCCAAGACTCTGTTGCCAATCAAGTCTCTCTGCCCGGAAGCCAGTAGATCCCCCACTGAGCAAAGCAAACCCAAGTCCCAACAGGTGTGCACCTCAACAGATCCAATACATTCAAGATTCTAGTTCACAGATCCTCTCCAGCATTCCAGAAAGTGTACTCAAGTACACAGTGATTTGCTGTCCTTTCCCCATCTGCTAATTTAGAGATCTCAGCAGTTTCTTTGCCACCAATAATGTCATACTTACAAGCCCCACTTTTTAACTATCATTTTTAAACTAAGAATACAAAAATCTAAAAAAAACTCTCATTTGATAAATAATTTATGAAAGTACTCAATAATTTTCTCAGCACAGTCCCATGTTTTTCAAGCACAGGGATCACTGCCCCTTAAGCTAGAGGAAATGCCACAGCAGTAAACACATTAGAGTTGAGATTTGAAGAACTATGATCTGCTTTCCAGTATATTACCAACCACTTACACCTGCTCAATGCCCCATCGTACTTCATGTGCAAGCTGCCTCTGACAGCAACATCCTGCTCCTGCTTCTGTTCTGGTTTGAAGTTACTAATAATCCTAGCATGTATTTTCTTCAAAATGTGGTTTGGAGGACCTGTGTACTGTTTCCAGCCAAATCGATTTCACAGTCAAATCAATTATCAATATATCTTCAGTCAATAAGGATACGGTGCATCCTGAGCATAAGTAATTCGCAGTAATCACATATGAGGAAGATGAGAATGCACTGTCTCATCAGGACCACAGGTGAAAATGCCCTGTATGAATGATCTCTGTCTTTATGGCAATGTTTGGTAAAAGCACAATTTTAGAATCTAATTGTACTCTTAAGTGTAATTCAGTAGAGAAATAACATGTTCTAAAGGGCATTCAAAGTAATAATATTAAGTGAATTCACAATATTCAATATCTGATATATAATGATTTATAGACTACTCTATATTTTGATCAGGTATTTTTATAATTGGGTCCATCACATTTTCATATTGTATTGGAACCGCTATTCATATAATTTCCTCCAGCGTTCACACAAAAAGATTGATTAAGGTGCACACAGTGCTCTGACTTTGAACAGCAGGACGCTATAACTTGAGTGCAGCAGGCCGTGCATGCAACAAGCTGCATTGCTGTGAAAGTGCTTCATCCAGCTCAGCTGCTGTGTGTGGCTTGATACTGAAATGTACCAAACCAAGTAGGCTTCCCGTTAAAGAAAGGTCTGTTGATGCCGTTTTGGTTGTGGCTGTTATTGCTCCCTCATTTGGAGGAAATCTTGTTGGAATTAATGCCAGAAAGGACAAAAGGGCAATAATACTAGCTAGTATCAGGCAGGGGAAATGGTGTGGCAATGTTGCAGGTTTACTGAGTCCTAAATTGAAGCCTGCTATAGATGCAAGATATAGTGGTGGTATCTGTAGATGCCCAGTCAGTGCTGCTCCTGCCAGCTGCCGCAGTGGTGGAGTCCAGCTTCCCAGACTAGGCTGCAGCTGTTGAGGGAAGCAGACAGAGGCCTGGGATGTGCCTTTCCCCTCAAAGCCCAGGTAAGCCAGGCAGCATCGCTGGCACTCAGCCCTGACCTATGGAGAACTTTAAGGTCAGAGCAACAAAGCAAATGCATCCTGATGTCAGCTCATGTTGGAAGCTTGCCCGTGCTGAGAAGCCTGGGTCTTATTCTTTACTGAGTTCCCCTAAAGTTCCTTCTCCTCCCTGTAGCTACCTGCAGGAAACAGGCTATTAGGATTGGAAGTACTATTTTCACACCTTTATTCAGCTTAAAGTATATATTCTGGAAAACAGTTTGAAATACAGAGTTTTAGATCTACATTTTGGGGATGGAAACGGGGACTATGGAAACAGTCTGAAAACTAGAATTAGGGGACAGTCTCCATTTGAGGCTAGTTGGATGTGGGATGGGAAAGAGCTACTGTCAGTCACATGACCAGGGTGGATATTCTTTAGCAACCTAAAGAAAACCAGCATGGTACATTTCTGGAAAGCTATTGCATCTCGTTCTGAGCTATATCACATGACCCTGTCTTTCAAGAATATTATTCTAAGGGAGGTTATCATGCAAGGAAGATGACAATCTGAGCTCCCGCCACAAAAGAAGGGTCAGAGTTCCTTCCCATGAAAAGATAGGCAAGCTTTGACATTCTAACAAATCAGGGTTGAAGCCTTTTACCCCTTGGGCTACCTGTGTCTTTCTGGCTCTCCTTTTTTCCAGGTCCTTCAAATCTCTCCATTTTGCTTAGTCTTCTCTCTGACGGACTTGATCGTTTGAATTCGGAATACTTGGAGGGCTTCACCAGTCTATAGGAGGAAATCTGGTGTTCACTCTGGATAGCATAGACCACAACAATGTCACTTTCCAATGGATCACGAAATCTGAAGAAATTAAACAAGTATTTGCAATAGCTGCCATTTCGATCTTTTTGCAAGATCACAATATATAGTAACATTCTTACATACTATCCCAATATGCTATGCTACACTCAAATTTTAACCATGTAGAGGCCATCAGGACATTACAGAAGTTGAACTGGACTTGATTTAAGAGCAAGTAGAACTGATTTCTAGTGAAAGCGCAAAGTAATTCATTATTAATCAGTACAACACTACTGCTCTGTTAATATGTGGAAAATGAAAATTACATGCAGGCTCCAACTTAAGAGAAAACAGATCATAACAAACTGAAGAAATGCAGTCTACCTTCCCATGTACTATGTAATATGTATTATATATTGTACTTATATACATGATATAAGTAAATTATACAAAAATTTAAATATTTATGTGTGAGGGAAGATTCCTAAACTGAAAAACAGAAAAATCGTTTTAAGCATTTATTTTCCAAAGATTTAAAGAATTTTACTTCACTAAGATATTTAAACACATTTTTTCCCTTAAATTCTACAGTGTGTATAGATCTGTGGGAATGCCACACATGTGGTAATGAGATCTGTTTATACACCATGAAGTAAGCAGACTTTGTGTGGTTGAATATAACAGTGGTTCTTCCTTTCCCGGTCTTTGTCCATCATTTTGCCATTTTTAATAGTGTCTCACTGTTATCAACTCCTCTATTTGCTATTATAAAAAAACAAGCTTAGGAATTAGTTTACCTTTCTCTTACATCTCACAGGGACTTATCTTTTAAAAGTTCATCATCTGTCCATTTAAAAACTTAAATTAAAAAATTCTTCATCAATGGCCTGGAGAGATGACTACGTGGTTAAGGGCACTTGCTGTTCTTGGAGAGGATCTGAGGATCTGAGTTTGTTTCCCAGAATCTATACTGGGTGGTTTACAACCACCTATAATTCCACGTCCAGAAGCTCTGATACCCTCTTTTGGCTTTCACTAGCATACAAACACATGCACATACACATAAGCACAAGGTTGATTTATTTTTCTTTTCTTTTTTGTACATTTTTAATTGCAGTTTTAAAGTGAATCATAAGAGAACCTCAGCATTGTGCATGATAAGAAAACGTGTCAGTATTTCAAGGGTCTACATTTTATCTGTAAAATGTGACTTTTTAAAAAAATCACAACACTCTCCTATCCTCAGGCCTCTTGGGGTAAGTCTATCGCAGAGGCCTCCGCACCTTGACTCCCCCAGCCACATTCACCCTTCCATCTCCCCCGCTGTTCTCTACTCCTAGTTTGGGCCCTGTGCCATTCCTAGTCTTGG